CCGCGCTATCTCCACATACTTGTCCAAGTCCAGGGGCGCCATTTTAGAAATAACAAGCCCCGACGGCGGCGGCGGCGGCGGCGGCGGCTGAAGTAGCGGCGGCAGCGGCAGAGGCCGAAGCCGGAACTCTTCCTACGTCACGTCCGGCCCATGAGAGGCGTCTGCGCAGCGGCGTACGGCTTGACCCGAGTCTCCCCGCCGCCTCGGCACGCCCCTCACCTTCCCCGCGCCGAACTCGGGCTGCAGGCCCCGAGGGGTACCCTTCGGTCCTGCTGGGACCCGTAGTTGTTTGCCGCGGGGAGGGCTGGGATTTATAGTTTTGAGTAGTGGCCAGGTACTCCTCTTTGCCTCCAGCTTCCTTCCACCAGACTTGCACCTCTAGGGACCCAGCAGTGCTATTCTGATCAAAACGGCGAAGTAGGTGACCGTAGCTATTCCCTGGCTTCTTACTTCGACTCATTTAAGCATTGTCACCCCCAACACCTTCAGTTAAAAATTAGATAAGCCTGGTTTGCACCTTTCTTAGGCCTTTTGAAAACCTTGCCTAAATCTGTGGCAGAGATGTCAGGCAACCAGTCTTGGAGGCTTTAAGGAAGGGAAACAAACAGTAAAGCATTATTATGCTAAGTGCTATATGAACGCTGTTTTTCTGTTTAATTCTCTTAACGACTCAGAGAAAAGCAACACTTAGAGGGGTTAAGTAACTTGCCCCAAATCTCAAAGGAAATAGGTGGAAGGAGGCTAGATTGGAACACAGGTCTAGCTGGTTTAAGTACACCATGTGTCTCATCAGGTCAGGGATTTTTTTTGTTGTTGTTGTATCTTCAGCACCAAGAACAGGACCTGGCATGGCACTTAGCATACCCTCAACATTTGGTTCATTCAACAGCTTTTACTGAACACTAACTATGTGCCAGGCACAGTTGTAGGCACCTGGGGTATTCAGCAAACAAAATAGACAAAGATCCCTGTCCTCAACCAATAGTTACCTTATAGTAGAAGAGACAGAACATAAACAATAAATAACTGTACAGTATATTGAAAGTCAAGGAGCTGTTGGGAATGTAACTTGTTATTTACTTATACATAAATTATATGTGCTATGTGATAGGAAAGTCATTCCTGTGCATTTTCACATTCTTCATGGGATGATTTAATTAAAATGAGGACAAAGCCAATATTAGTAGGGATGTAGCTTTCATGCTCATCTGAGTCTTTTGTGGCTTCTTTCTGTTAGGTGTTTTTTTGTGTGTGTGTGTGTTTTTTTTTTAGGAAACAAAGATACCACCAACATTGGTACCCAGTTCATGGAAAACTAACCAAGCATCTTTTCGTAGCATTATTAACCCCATGGGTGAAGTGGGCTTTGCATTAGCGCTGGAGGTAAGGAACTCCAACAGGATAAGGGAGATGGGGTGATGCATTTTAAAGGACCAACAAACAGGTGGGGGCATGCATGTACTAAAGGAGAGTTATAAGGAGGAGCTGATGCAGAAGCCTTAAGATGGAAGCATATGTAGAATCTTGGAAATGGCAAGATTAGTGTGGTTAGAGCAAGGTGAGAGGAATAGGAGAGGAGAGAAAAGAATGTTTTCTTTTTCCCCTGATTTTTACTTTTAATGTAACAGGGAAATATTGCAGTATTTCAAGCAAAGGAGTAATACGATTGAACTTATTTTAGAAGAAGAGGGTGCTGTATGAGACTAAGAGATAATGTTTGCAGCTGAGACACCAGTTAGGATACTGTCATATAATCCACTGGTAACAGATTCTCAATAAACATTTGTTGTTCAAGTGGCTTTGGACTGGATCTTCTTGCTCTAAAGTGTATTTCAGGGGCATTTGGCAAAAATTTAATGATGTCTCTGGGTAAAGTTCTTTATATTATTCTTGCAACTATTCTGTAAGTATGAAATTATTTCAAAGAAAAAATAATTTGTAAAAGTTTGTTGTAGAATGAGCCCTGGCTCGTGTGGCTCAATGGATTGAGCGCCAGCCTGTAAACCAAAGGGTCGTGGGTTCAATTCCTGGTGAGGGCACATGCCTGGGTTGCAGGCTGGGTCTCCAGTTGGGGGCATATGAGAGGCAACTGATTGATATTTCTCTCCCTCGCTTTCTCCCTCCCTTGCCCTCTCTCTGAAAATAAATAAAATCTTTAAAAAAATAAAAGATAAATAAAAGTTTGTTGTAGAATGAATGATGTCCACAAGCATACATTTCTTAATTCATTCAACAAATAGTAACATAGTACCTGTAATGTGAATGAGACCAATATGACCCCTGCCCTCATGGGGCTTACAGTATGATAGGGGTGACAATAAACATATAAATGAGAAAATAATTAGATGCAATTATTTAGCATCTAAATGAGAAAGCATTAAAATGATTAGCATTAAAATGAGAAAGTGGTACTGTGAGTTAAAAAATGGAGTAGAAGAGGCCTTCTTCAGGTTGGCAATGTAGTGGAGGTAAAGCATGCAGACTCTAGCACCAGAGAGCCAGGGTTCAAATCCATTACTAACCTTGTGACATTGGCAAAGTTATTTTTCCTTTCTGTGCAGCAGTGTATTAGCTCCAATATGAAGGCTGTAATAACAGTGCCTAACTCATACGGAGATAGGAATAATGTTTACTTTGTAGGCTTGTACTGAGTTTGAATAGACTTAATATATGGAAAGGGCTTAAAACAATGTCATGTACAGAGTGCAATGTGAGCGTTAGCTCTCAGTTTTGGGTGGGCCAAGCAAGGCCTTTCTGAAGAGGTAACATTGAAGACTTTAGGGGGAAAAAAGTATAAGGAGAATGTGCTCTGGATTTCTTGGAAGAAAAAAATCCAAGTGAAGAAAAGACGTGACTGTTGTTTGACATTTTTAAAAATTACAGTCCTCTTTGGAAAGCTGGCAATTCACTTTTCATCCCTGAACCTCAGTAACTGGGAATGAATCCTTCTCAAAATACTTTCTCAGAATTGAGGAGGACAAATAAAGTGCTTGAAAGGAAGTTGTCATGAGCATCATTACTTTCCTTGCTGGTAAGTCAGTGAACAGGTAGGTAATGAAAGCAGATAGTAACACATCCCAGTGAAAATAGGTGGCAGTCCTCACATGACCAAACTGGCTGGCAGGAAGAAGCTTCATCCTGAAGACCCACCTCATTCGATAAATCTCAGTGCTGACATCCAGAGCTGAGAAAGAGAAGCATCCCTGAGTATTGGGAGAGCTCTTAGAAGTGTTGATAGACACGTTGGGGGATCTGTTACAGAGACAGTGTGCAGAGCTTCCTGACTGCAATATGTTATTAGTCTGCCTTGCACAAAGCAGAAGATACAGACTACTGGTTCTGCCATTTATGTGAGTTAGTCATTTTAATTTCTCTAGGCTTTGATTTCCCTTATAAAAATAGACCTCAAAAGTTCCTTCCAGCACCTTCTGAAATGTGATTTCTAGTCTAAAAGCCTAAGTTTCACAATGAAAACTGGTTGCTCTTTTACCCACAAACCTCTTCTAATTTTTGTTTATGCACAACTCTGGCACGGCACCATGAAATGGATCTAGTCAAAAGACACGGGATGTCACACCTTTCTGCAGCTCTGAGCACAAATCTCCATCGCGATGCACATAGACAGACAACAGAGCCAACTTAGCCTTGGTTTTTCTTGCTGAAGGAGAGCAGAATAACTGAATACTTCTGAACAACTCTTTGGCAGACATTCAATGGATATTTTTTCATTAATACAGAAATTCACAAAGACTCCAGGTGTTTGAAATAGGATATTTGAACAGTGAGGAGAGCTGCAAACCTCAGATTCCATTTCAGGAATAAGTTTTCATTATGGTTTCAAGTAGCCAAAACCATTACCAAGTTGTTTTTTCGCCTGTATTATCCAATCCTCTCAAATGCTCCGTCTGAGAGGTAGATATTACTATTCCCATGGTAGAGATGAGGAAACCAGGACTGGGAGAGGGTAATGGACTTGCCAAATGTCAAAGTTAGATGGTTAGGGTTAGAGCCTGTATTTGAACGCAAGTGTGTCCTTCTTGTTCCCACTATGCTACCATACTTCTGCACTTCCGGAGCTCCCATTTCCTCCCTTAGTTGTTTCCCGTATTTCCTAGGTTACTGGCCTCAGCCTTCCTAAGCGATTGTGGGGTTCTCTAAAACATAGACATAGGTGAGCCACGCCTTCATTTTGAGGAAAGCTACAGAGAACCTATGGAGACCAGGAATGATGCACATGAACACTTCCCATTCAGGACTGAGTTCGTTCATAGCTAGGAATAGCATCACACTTTACAGAGGACCAGCTCTGCACCAGCAGCTGGGCACTGAGCACTTTAGATACATTAGCTCATGTATTCCCCATCATAATCTTGTGGCAAATCTTAACTCCATTTTACAGCGGTGGCAGGTGAGGCCGAAAGCAAAGTAACTTCCCCAAGAATAGATACTCTCACTGATGACCTTTTTATTTCTTGCACTTTTTACAAAGGTGCCTAGTTATTTTTCCTTTTTAATCTCAATCTCTCTCTCTCTCTAGTTCGACTGTGAACTCCAGGAGGCCAGGACCCTTGTTTGTCTGGTTCACCATAGTGCCTGCCACAGTTAAACGCCCTAATTCTGGAATGAGTCAGCCGTTTAAGGCGCCAAAGCTTGAATTGGTCTAAAGACTGAACAGGGAGATTTTTCCCTTCCAGAAACCATTCTAACAGCCGCTGGAACTGAAAATATCCTAGCCCCTTTTGGATAACCCAGAATTGGGTCACGCTAGTAGACGCCCAACCCCCAGCATTTCTCTGGCGAATCCTTTCCTGGTAGCCCTGGTTTATCGACTCCGCGGGTAGGTAGGACCCCGAGAACGCCCGGCCTATTGGTTCCCCGAAAATGCACTCCAGATGCCAGAACCCCTCCCCGGCCTCTTTAACGGCGATCCCTGGAGGCCGGACCTGCTAGCCGGACCGTGAGTGCGCGGAGGAGGCGAGCGGTTGGCTGTCTCGCTCTTCCGGGGTCTGGGACGGAGTGTAGGCCCAAGCACCGCCCCCTAGGGGGCGGAGCCCCAGTCCCGGACTGGCCTAAGCCGCCGCAGGTAATGCGGTCTGGGGCTGGGGGTCCCTCGACGCGGCCGTGGGCAGGGGTGGCCGCATCCTTTAGGGGAGTGGGTACTGGTCGGATGGGGAGGCCCTCCTCTGGCTCCTGCCCAGGCACATGGACCGAAAGCAGCCGGCGTGTTCCCTCCCGACCCTGTCTCCTATTCCCTGTCGCTGCCATGCGGGAATGGGACTGGGGGTTATCCACGCTCACGCGAAGTTTATCCCACTGAGCTTTTAGGCTTTGGGGACAGCAGTCAGTGGCTTAGGCCAAGGTTGGATTTATCCATTCATTTCCCAGAAATCTTACCCATTTTTTTTTTCATTCACTCAATCCCTCACTTCTACTCTATGCCGAGCCCATAGGTGGGTTCTCTGAAGGAATACTGCAGGCCTAGCTCTCTTGGATTTGAGTCTAGTGGAAGTTAGTCTAGAATCTAGTCTAGAGACCTTTACGTGGCTAATTACATTCAGGGTGACCTCTGCAGTGATGGTGGTTTAATAGACACCTTCACAGGGAGAAGAAAGTAATTTGAGGATGTTAACTGAGGAAGGTTCATTGGAAAGGGGCTGTGGAGGTTGACCAGGAGTTTGCTAGTTGACAGGAAGGGAAGGGACATTTTAGGTACAGGAAGCAGCAAGGGATGAAAGTTATGAAAGGGCTTGTCATGTTAGAGGAAGAATAAATATAGTGAGAACTACTAAATATAGCCAGATATTGTGGAGGTAAGTTCCTGGAAAGAAGATTGAGACCAGAAATCTTTGAATGTCATGATGGGGCTAGGATTTATCCTAGACTTCAATATTTCTCAGCCTTTTAAAACGCTTTATCTTTTGATAAACATAAACATGACCTCTGAAAGTTTATTTTGACACATGCCCCTTCACCATGAAAATTACAGATACACAGAAAACTTTAGCCAGAGCACTTCTGCAACTGTGTTAAGAAAGTTGTGTTATATTTGCCTCCCAAATACAACATTATATGAAAAGGTTGGTAATGCTTATTCAAATTCATCAGATCCTAGAATTGGTATACCAACAGGAAAGGTTTTAATATGGGCAGTGACCTAATTTGTTCTGTGTTTTAGGTAGAAGTTAATCATAAGTGTCTAAAAAGTGCCTTTCTTTCTTGTATGTAGGACACCATGAAGCAGCTGCCAGTCTTGGAGCCTGGAGACAAGCCCAGGAAAGCAACATGGTCTGTAAGGAAGGATTCAGACAGAAAAAAAAAGCATAAGTTTTTGTTTCATTTATAAGTCGTTTACTAACATACTTAAACATCTATGAAAAGGGGGAGAGATGAAACTGTTTGCAGTTTCTGGTAATTAGACTCAAACTGTCTGAGAAGGTCTTCAGAGGGAAGATAGCAGGGCAACAATTATCAGAGCAGATGTTGATTTTATTAAAATCCATTTACCGGAAAGAGGAAGGCGCTGGCCATCTGGCATCCTCAGCTTCAACACTGTGTCTTCCCCTCAAGCTCAGATTCATTTTTAACGTTTTCAGGGAATAGGATTTGGATTAAACTGGCTTCGCTGTTTCTTGACTGCTTGCTCAGTCAACCCTTCATTCAACAATTAACACTGGCCTGACAGGGGCAGCTGCTGTTTAGGCACTGAATGTACAAAGGTGAATAGTCTTACTGTAGTGGGGGCTACAGATGAAGCAGTTGATGGTGATGAAATGTGACCGGTGCTGAAACAGGGCCCACACGAGGCTGTAGAGAGGGGGCAGGGCTGAAGCAGGACGTTGGAAGAGAGTCTGTGATGTGGCTTCCCTGTGCCCACACTTGCTCTCTACGCAGCATAAATCTGATCATGGCATTTCCTCATTTAAAACCCTTTTGTGTCTCCCCATTGGCCTTCGGATCAAAACCAGAGTCCTCAAAATGGCCCAATGGGCCCTGCATGATTTGTCCCTGCCCGTCTTTCCTACCTCAAATCCCCGGACTCATCCTTTGTCCTCTTTCTCTTCCGTAACATGTCTTGCACTGTCCCCACTCAGCAACTGTGTGTGCTGGTCTCTCTACCTGGATCGCTCTTTCCCTCCATCTTTCGTGCCTCTTGTTGCCCAACTAACATCTGCTCATATATCAGATTTCAGTTCAAAAGATGCTTCTTCAGGAAGCCTTCTCTGACTGTCCCCTCCCCCACCTCTCCTAACAGGGTAAGGTGCCCCTGTGAGAAGTTCTAACACTGTATACCTTCTATTGCTTTATAGTGCAATGGGAATGAAACAGATATTTGTGAAGTTATCTGTTTAATGTTTCTCTTCCCAAGTAGTCCATAAAGGCTATGACGGCATGAACATTTTTTGTCTTATTCACTATCTATCTGGATGCTGCGTGCTCTTGGGTAATTATTTAACATTTTTAAGCCTTGAGTCCTCAGTTGTAAAACTCAGATGATGATAATAGAACTGTCCTCAAAGGGGCTTTATGCACATTAAGTGAAACTGGGGTTGTAATGAAGTTAGCAGCATGCATGGTATATTGTTAGTAATTATTCAGGTGCTAATTGATCTGTGAATGTGGACCTCAGAAGACAGATCTGGGAAAGAAATAGTTTAGTATCCAGCCAGGTGATATGAAAAATAGAGACATTTATTGAAAGAGATACAAGAAACAGTATACATAAAACAATGACATCTCAGTTCCCTTCAGAGTAGGTACCTTGGGACCTCATATAGTTCTCCCAGTCACCATCAGCTGCCCCATCATATTTTCCTCAATTTCATCGATGATATGAAATCTCTTCCCTTTCAAAAGTTATTTTAGTTTTGGGAAAAGCCAGAAGTTGCAGGGTGCTAAATCTGGGTTGTAAGGGGACTGAGTCACCTGGGTGATTTGATGTTTTGCAAAAAAAACTCTGCACAAGACATGATGCATGAGTGGACATGTTGTCATCGTGAAGCTGCCAATCACTAGTATCCCATAGCTGCAGCGTTCTGAATCACCTGAATAGTTTCCATGGAGGTTTGTTCAAGCTTAACACAAAATTTGATGCAGATTCATTGCTCTACTAGCTCATTTTGAATATGATGGCAACACAATACCCATGTTCAGTCAATGGCATCTACCACCCCCACTGACTAGTACGATGAAGCCATCATTGTTCATGCACGTGCATTCTAGTCCATTCTCCTTGGCTGCCAGGTTACATCCATGTCTCATAAACTGTTCTCATTATGTTAACAACGGCTGGCCTTTTTCTGGACAGACCATGTATACAGATGAGTGGTAACTGAAGCCCTCAGTACAGGTAAAATTGGTCAGGCAAGCAAACATAGACTGAGGAGAGGGCAATCCAAGAGTACTGAAGGGTAGAAGAAGACTGGCAGGGAAAGGAGTCACAGAAGGAAACAGAAAGAACAGCCAGAAAAGTGGGTAGAGAACCAGAAGGCAGCTAGGTAAGAAGAAGGTACAAGAAGGAGGGAGGAGCCAGAGAGGTCAGATAAGACAGGGCCTCAAAAATAGCTGCAGAATTGTCTTTTCCAACCAGGAAACTCGAAGTATGCTTTCTCAGTCATAATTCAGAACAACTTTAGACAGTGGAATAAATGGATCCTGTATTTGACTTTTTCAAAGGCTTAGCTTTGGCTTCCGTCAGGTCGAGCTTTAGGAGTAACTGGAAAAGCTCTTAAAATCAGTAAACCCTGGAGAATATCACTTGACAGCAGGAAAGCATCCCTGGCTAGTGGCAAGGGCACTGGGGCTGTAAGCTCCTGTGTGATTGCACCTAAGCTCTAGCCACCACTTACTGAGTCTTTCCCTCCACTGTTATAAGACTTCATCTTACTCTTTACAGATAGGATCTATTGCTAGCCTCATTTCACAAATAAGTAAACTTTGCTTCAGCAAGGTTAAGTGGCTTCCAAAAGGTCACATATCTAGAAAGCGCCTGAACTGGGACTTGAACAAGGTCTGTCTGAATTTACAAACTGTGCTCAGAACTACCATCCTGTGCTCGGAGGCACCACTGAAGATTTCTGAGTGTTAGTTTCTCTCTCTACCAAATGGGGACAGTCACTATCCCCATGCATCACTGTTAGGTTAATGTAAGATGAAAGTAATGACAAAATTGGAAAGTCAAAGTTTATGTGCAAATGGAAGGTGCTGTTATTAGGGAAATAATGCTTTGCTTTAATACAATTTCAAGTGTCTGCGTCTGTGTAAGACCCTTGATTCTTATGCATATTTCACGACGAATGGAAAAAACTCTGCTGCTTTTATTCTCTGCCCAGGCCTCCTGAATACATCCTTCCTTTAACAGGTACACCTTGACCCCCACTGGAGACAGCCCATGTGCTCGGGTGGGCCACAGCTGCTTGTATTTACCCCCAGTTGGTGATGCCAAGAGAGGGAAGGTCTTCATTGTTGGCGGAGCAGATCCAAACAGGAGCTTCTCAGACGTGCACACCATGGATCTGGGTAAGACCAGCGGCTGCGGAGCACGTGTCCTGTGACCAGAGAGCAGGGGTTCGTGCTGCTGGCCAGGACCAGAGCACTCCCAGGAACCCCAGCTCAGACCAGACCACAGGGTTTTCCTTTAAGAACATAAGCATCACTGAGAGATCCCTAAGGTCTCGGCAGACCCCCGGAACACATCCACCACCCAATGAGTACATCCTTGTTTGGAGGAAAGAGTCTACATAGAGCTCTGGACATCCGGCCATTGATTTATTAAACATTTATCTGGGAGACATGAGACATTGATGACTCCATCTCCTCTTCCATCCACATATCCAAGTGATCACCAAGTCCTAAATATTTCTCTCTTTATCCAGGACTGCCCATTCCCACTACTACTAATGTCCAAAAATTGTTATCTGCCCACTAGATGTTACAACAGCCCTGCTTCCAGGAATTGCTATCCCCTCTCCAGTATATTTTCCATATCTAGGCAGAGAGTATTATCTAAACTGCAAATCTGACCGTGTCACTCTGCATTTCAAGTCTTTTCTACTTCATTTTTTGGCTCTCCCAAACCCCCATTTGCTACACTGAGTAGCCTTCAGATTTTTTAACATGTCTTGAACTCTGGTCTCCAAACTTTTGCACATATTATCATTCCCTCTGATTAGAAGGCTCTTTTCTTTCTTATCATCTGGCTACATCTTTCAGATTTCTGATGTTGTGATTTATAAGAAATACATATTTAGTCTTTGTCAACAGTTCCCGGCTCACAGCTCCCAGAGCCTTGGAATTTCTTAAGTATTGAGAGTAATAAGTTTCTTTTATATTAATGAAGTGACTTTTAGAAAGTACCGAAGGATGTGGGCTCGTCACCTGGAGACCCAACGTGGTGATTAGAGGATTAGAACTTTCAGTAACACCCTTCCTCACTCCCCCCCCACCCCCGACCACACACCCACACACAGGGAATGGAGAGAGGCTGGAAGTTGAATGAATTGCCAGTGGCCAATGATTTAATCAGTCATGACTATGTAATGCAGCCTTCATAAAACCCCAAACAGACAGGGTTCAGAAAGCTTCCAGGTGGTGTGCACATGGAGATGTGGGGAGAGGGGTGCACATGGAGAGGGCATGGAAGCGCCGCACCTGTTCCCATACACCTTGCCCTATGCATCTCTTCCATCTGGCTGTTCCTAAGTTGGTATATCCATTTACAATAAACTGGTCATTGAGTAACATGTTTCTTTGAGTTCTGTAACTTGCTCTTGCAACTTAATTGAACCTGATGACAGTGGATCATGGGAAACTCTGATTTAGAGCCAATCAGAAGTACAGGTGGCAGAGATGGGGGCAGGGGCTGGGGCTGAAAGTTTCAATCCTCTCATAATAGAGTTGGTTTCCTTGGCAACCAGCCTCATCTTTAGAGGCTTTCATAAGTCACCTCATCATTAACATAAACTCAGGTGTGATTGCCCTGGGCTTGTTATATTAGACACCTTTACGGATCTTACCGCTCAGGGAAATCCAAGGGTTTTAGGAGCTCTGTGGCTGGAACTGACAGAGTCAAATACATATTTCTGACTATAAATCACGAAGTCACAACCACCATCTGTATTTTCATGGCATCCTGTACTTACCCATCCCCATCGTTCTTCGCAGCCCTTAGCTGACATGTTTGTCTCTCATCTGTCTCCCCCGTGAGAGTGTAAGCTCCCTGGAAACAGGTAACATGGTTATATTGCCCGTCATTGTATCCCCAGCCACTAACAATAGCACCTGACACAGAGTAGGTGCTTTATATGTATTTGGATGGATGGCTGTGTAAACAAATAGCTACTACTGTGTACTGTTCACAGTGGCGGAAGAAAACTGGCGACTCACATGTTAGGTGCATGTGACATGGCTGTTACTATTTTAATCTGAGTTGTTCACCAACCAAGTGCGAAGAAGTGTACATAACGAAATTGACGTGGTTTGGCTTTTCTTGATCATTTTGAAAGATGGGACATCAGCAGGCCTATATGTCTACATGACAGCAGTTATTTGGAGCTGAGCTGCTACCTATTGATGGGACTCTTGGGCTCCAATTTACCGCATTCCCTCCACTCCTGTGTAGGCATTTGAATTTCTACTCCCTGCACTAGAATCAGGGGGGAGTTAAAGCTCTTCTGGCTCTAGTTCAGTTACAGCTTTATTGTCACCTCTTACTACCTTTGTGACTCTGGCTAACCTGTCTCAACCAGGTGGGCTTCATTGTCCTATAACATTGATTCGCTTAGCAGTTGTAATGATCCAACAAGACAGGCCCATGAAGGTCCTTTGTAAGTGGCTTGCTAACTAAAACAACTCATTGGTTAGATACTGTTATTCTGTGAATTTGTTTTAGCCAGAAATCATTCATTTGTGGGTAACAGAAACTCTTTTAAACCAGCAAAAAAAAAGGAGGAGCCCAAGGACCCAAGGACGGAAGATACAGCTTAGCCTCAGGAGAGAAGGGAAACAGGAATTGGAAAGCTGTAAAAAAAAATTCACTTTCTCCCTTGTGCTCTGTGGAGAGATCTGCTTCTTAATGTAGAGGTTTCATTCTTCTCCATACTTTGGCTCTCTCTGCCTCTCCACAGGTGATGGGAGATGGCCACCCAAGTCTGGGAATTTGTTTGAATTCCAAACTCTTGGGAAACAAGATCTGATTGGCCCATTTCGGGTCAAGTGGCTGCCCTTAACCCAATCAGCTAAGGCTAGAAAGTGAAGGTGTTGCAGTACAAACAGGTCTTCTGGGTTTTACCCTTATTATTGGGAAAATGGGGACGGTTTCCATAGAAGAGGGTTTGTGGATGGTCCCTAAAGTGTCTGATGTGGAACTTTTTGGAATTTGACCACGTTCCCTTTAAGTAATCTGATCGTTGTTCACTGATGCTCTTGACCATCTTCTCTTCACGACCCTCCCCCAAGTTTGCCAAGCAATCAAAGCAGTTGGCAGCCCCAGTCCAGAAACCGGGTGAAATGTTTTCTAGGAACACACCAGTGGAGTTTAGCCACCTCGGAGGGCCTCTTGCCCCGGTACGAGCATGCCAGCTTCGTTCCCTCTTGTACACCCCACAGCATCTGGGTGTTTGGAGGTGCCAACCAGTCCGGAAATCAAAATTGCCTACAAGTTCTGAACCCTGGTAAGTAGTCAGAGGTTATTTTATTTACCTAAATAAACAAATAAAATTCCAATTCTATTTCCTGAAAACAAAACCCATTTGGATTGTACCAAATTATCCATTGGACTTTGCTGACCTCATAGAACACAGGAATTTTAACTTCTGGCAGAATCTGAAAATAACAGAGTTACATTTTGTTTTCCTAGTAACCTGTACAATTATCAGCTTCTTAAAAGCCAAAGCTGGAAGAGACTTCAGAGGACAGCTATGCCAAGTGGGCGACCCATGTCCACGGGAAGTGGCTTTCCCAAAGTCACTAGGGAGTCAATGGCTGAGCCAGGCTAGGCCCTGTGACTTAGATCAGGGTGGCGATTGTGCTCCCCAAGGGACATTTAGCCATATCTGGAAACATTTTTGTTTATGCCTGCTCGGGGAGGTTGGGGGGCAGTTTGCTACTAACATCTAGTGGGTAGAGACCAGATTCACTGCTGTATATCTCGTAACACACAGGACAGCCCACGACGATAACCAATAACCTGGTCTAAAGTGCCAACGGTGCCCGCCCTAGATCCTCCTCGTATATTTCTGTGAGCCGCAAAGTGCAAAGTCCTAACCAGTCTCATGGGCAGTGTCATCCCAAAGGAGGCAGTTTAGGAACATTGCTACTGAGCAGGTGTTGCTGGACCACTGATGGATGGGAGCTGGGCTTATCTTTTTATTAGTTAAACAATCGTTCTTGGGTTTTTTAAAAAATAAATATAATTTAGGCCCTCACCAGGTAGCTCAGTTGGTTAGAGCATCATCCCAATATGCCAAGGTTGTGGGTTCAATCTCCTGTCGGGGCACATACAAGAATCAACCAGTGAATGCAGAAATAAGTGAAACAACAAATCAGTGTCTCTCTGTCTCTTAGCTTCTCTCAAAAAATCAATCAATAAATATATTCATTGTAAAATGTGTACAAAGTGTAAATATGTGGGCAAAAACCATCCACAGTCCTATGATGCTTAGGCTTTTAATATTTGTGTGTTTCCTTTCTGTCTTTTCTCTGCATTTTTATAAGCCTTAGCTCATACCATTTAACCTCGACACTGTCACACCTTTTTCCTTTTAATTTCATAGTTACTGCGTAAATGATGTCCTATTCACGGCAGTGCTTTGTTAACATCATTTTTAACGGCTACAGGAGCACTCCATTGTATGACGATACCATAATTCTGTTTTTTAACATTGAGGCCACTTTCAGATTCTCGCCACCATAAACAACAAAGCGGTGCCGCGAACCTCTTTGTTCAGAGGACATAGACTGCGTTTCAAATTACTGCCTTAGAATTCATGCCCAGAGATTTTAAATAACTGGTTGAAACACAGCTTTCGGTCTTTTGGTGCGTGTTTTCTAACTGCTCCTCAGAAAGACTGCTCCAGCTCACCTCCAGCTGCGTTTGATAGTGCTTGCTTTACTCCTAACTGACACTGAATTTATCATTTTTAAACACTGCTAATTTGATTAGGCAAAACAACTTGGATCCGAATGTTCAAATGTGCCTTTGTTAATTACTGGTCACTTGGACATTTCTTCACATGACAGTTTGCCCGGTCCCCTCTATCAACAATAGATTCACTTGCACAGTAGTTGGTCTTCTCTTTCACTTTGGGATAGTAATAATTCCTACATTGTTAATTTTGGCAAGGATTTTTTTTTTTTTAGAGATTTTACTTATTTTGAGACCGAGGAGAAGGGAGGGAGATAAAGGGTGAGAGAAACATGAATGTGTGGTTGCCCCTCGTGCACCCCGCACCAGGTAACCTGGCCCTCAACCCAGGCACGTGCCCTGACTGGGAATCAAACCAACGACCTTTTGTTTGCAGGCCGGCGCGCTCAATCCACTGAGCGACACCGACCAGGGCAGTTTGGCAAGGATTGAAATTAACTCAATATCTGGCACAAGGTTAATGCTTAATAATGGTTGTTGTGGTTGATATAGCCGTAGTTTGACAGATGGAAGCTCATCTGGAACCCTGGCCTTTTGATTTTCAATGATGGCAATTATTTAAATAAAATACACTGAGAATTTGTGAAGCCTCTGTCAAAGGATTGATTTTACACCAGATCCTTTTTCTCTCCTAGAAAGTATAGCTTGACACCATGCCCAAGACATATGAAAAATGAAAGTGAATTAGTAGTTGCTTTTGTTACTAAAGCAAGTCGGTCAAATGGCTTAGGACTCCTTTGTGATTATTTGTGCTGGCATTTGAGTTGGCAGCAGCACCATCCCAGGATCTTCTGGCCTTGGGATCTGAAAGCTCCCCAAGCTCTGTAGCCATGGAGACGGTTCCTTTGGCTTTGGATATAGGCGTAGACGTGTTTAGTCTCCAGGTTTATGTCTGAGTCCCACACATATTACAAATGCTTCATGGATCACTTTGTATATTGGACGAAGACTTTTATCAAAGGCACAGCATTTGCCTGGCGAGAAATAACTCCTGGTGTGTTATGGTGGAGTGAGTGTAGGAGTTTTGATGGATCTGAGTTCAAACCGCTACCCTGCTACTCACAAGCGCTGTGTGAGCCAGGGAAAGGATTTAAGTTTTTCTTAACTTCAGTTCCCTCATCGGCAAAGTGGAGATACTTTCTGCCCACCTCCCGGGGTTAAGTGAGGACCGTGGGGATGGCAGAGTGCTCAGGGCAAGGACCCTGCTCAAGGAAGGGGCTCAGTTAATGGGTCCGTTCCTCTAAAATGTCTGCTTCATTCTAAAAAGAAATAAGCTTCTAAACACTCAGCCAGGTGATGAAATTTTATTCTCAAGTCAGAAGAGTGGAAAATACGTAGCTCTTGGTGTTATCGAAACAGACTTTGAATCCCAACTGAACCATTTATTAGCCGTGTCACCTTAAGGGAGTGACTTCATATAGCTCTGCTTAATTCCCTTATCTGTAAAATGGGAAACTAATACACTGTATTTATTTAGCACTTACTAGTTATTAAGGACTAATTACTACTACTGAAACCATAAAAACACTGCCTGCTTTCTTTTAATAGCCACATATCCTGGGAAATTTGGCACATTAGCTTTCTAGCATTCAGCGGAAATGACTTTTAGCAGATGTTGGGCTCCTGTGAATGGCATGGAGCAGGAGTCAGCAAAGTGGAAGAGGGCTCAGAGGGGTTGTTTGAAGGCCTCCAAATCAACCTCATTCTTAGTCTTGGGGACTGGGGTCTACCTGGGCGAATTCTAAGAATTTCCCCTCACCCGTCCTTGACTTTGGCACATCACGGCCTTTGCCTATGCGGCCCCACTTGGGGACTGGGATTTGGAAGGTGACCCTGCCCAGCCCCAGATTTAAGGTCAGAGGCCCCTCAGTCCGGGTACTTGAGGGCCTCCCTTCTCTCTGGAACAGAAACCCGGACTTGGACCACGCCAGAGGTGACCACGCCCCCACCTTCCCCAAGAACATTCCACACATCCTCAGCAGTCATTGGAAACCAGCTGTACGTCTTTGGCGGCGGAGAGAGAGGCGCCCAGCCCGTGCAGGATGTGCAGCTTCATGTGCTGGACGCAAGTATGGACGGGCGGGCACCTTGGGGCTGCCACTTACCTGGTCCACCGCTTACCTGATGTAGGAAGCAGGGGTTAGAAAATGACATCCTGGCTGAGTGTCTCACTCCTAGACTTCTTCAGTATAACCCTTAGCTGATACCTTCTTCCCACAGCAAAATTTGTATTTAAAAAGTATAAATGATCAATTCTAAAAATTTGAACAGTATAGTTTATAAAGTAAAAAAAACAAGAACTTCTTCCTTTAGTATTTCTTTCCCACTCCCCAGGCACAGGTAGACACTGTGGGCAATTCCTTATTTCTCCTTCCAGACATTCCTATGCATTTGTAAATCATACATATACGTGTATATGCACAGGTACGATTTTTGAAATTATATAAAAACTTAAAACCCTGACTAGTGTCACTCAGTGGATTGAGCGCTGGCCTGCAAACCGAAAGGTCACTGGTTCAATTCCCAGTCAGGTCACATGCCTGGGTTTTGGGCCAGGTCCCCAGTTGGGGCCATGCAAGAGACAAACCAATCAGTGTTTCTCTCACACATCATTGTTTCTCTCCCTCTCTTTCTCCCCCAACTCCTTTCTCTAAAATTAAATAAAATCTTTAAAAATACAAAGAACCCTTAGGTTTATTTATTTATTTATTTATTTATTTATTTATTATTTTTAGAGGGGAATGGAGGGAGAAAGAGAGGGAGAGGAACATCATTGTGTGGTTGCCTCTTGCTCACTCCCAACCAGGGACCTGGCCCGCAACCCAGTCCTGTGCCCTGACTGGGGATCAAACTAGTGGATTGAGTGGCACTCAATCCACTGAGCCACACCAGCTGGGGCAGGTTTATTTTTTTAAAAAATTAAAAACACACACATGGACTCAAATTATAAATATGGTTCTGCAGCTTGCTTTTGCAGGGGCGAGGTTAGATCTTTGTGGGTGAAAGCATGAATTTTGAAGCCATGTGACCTGGACTCGACCAGCTCTGACATATTCTTTCTGTATCACTTTAGCCTAGTTACTTAATCTCTCTAGGCCTTGGTTTGCTAATCTGTAAACAGAAGTAGTAGCAGTGCCTACTTGAGGATATTGTCTTAATAAAAGAGTGCTCTGAAAGCCTGTTTTAGAAGAAGCAGACTCATTCTTTTTAAAACTCTGGCAGCTCTCTGTTGAAACTTAAGGGAGGTCTTTTTTAATTCAAAGCGAGGAATGATTTCCTAATGCCCAATAGAAGGAGCAGGCATGTCAGGCAGTGAGCTCTCCGGCACCAGAAGTGTCTGAGCAGAGGCTACACAGACTGTAGAGAGAGAGGGAGGCCTGGACCGGGCTGGCAAGTTGGAGTGAATGACCTCAAGGTCACTTTCTGCTTGGGGCATCTCTGCTTGCTGGGAGGTGAGGCTTGGGCGTATTTCTCGTGTTCTTGCTTCATAGCTCTGTCATCTGATGTTGATGAATTTATTTTTCTAGACACTCTGACCTGGTCACAGCCAGAGACACTTGGAACACCCCCATCCCCCCGGCATGGTCATGTGATGGTGGCAGCAGGGACGAAACTCTTCATCCATGGAGGCCTGGCAGGGGACAAATTCTATGATGATCTTCATTGCATTGACATAAGTAAGTAGGGTAGAGGGCATGGGGGCTTGTCTGCTTAAAATTATTTTATTTTTAAAGATTTTATTTATTTATTTTAAATAGAGAGGAGAAGGAGGGAGAAAGAGAGGAGAGAGGGAGAGAAACATCAATGTGTCGTTGACTCTTGCGCACCCCTGACCAGGGACCTGGCCTGCAACCCAGGCACGTGCCCTGACTGGGAATCGAACTGGCAACCCTTTGGTTCGTACGCCAGCGCTCAATCCACTAGCCGCACCAGCCAGGGCTCTGTTTAAAATTAAATAAAATATGCTTTGATAGAATGTAGCCTTGATCTTGGGTGTAGGTAACTTTACCAGCCAGCAGAATCTTCACTAGATTCTGTCAAAGGTGGCCCGAATATTACTACTGCTAAGTAATAATGATAAAAGCAGTTGGTCCCTGAGCATTTGCTATGTACCTAGCTATCATTTCTTCTCCCTGCGCTTTCATTCGAAAGCATTATACTTCGTGTTCCCCAGCTGGATTCCTTTCAGGCATTAGCCCTTAACCCCATGCCCAGGAGAGGCATGGACAACTTCTAGAGTGTGAGGGGCTGACGTGCCCTGGAGAGCCTGAACTCATTCTGGGTCATTGTTTTAAGCTGTCAGCTCCTTAGAGCAGGGACTTCATGTTTTTTGTTCCCCAGTGTATTTCTAGCACATAGCACGGTGTCTGGCAGGTTATGGGTGATGAGTGCATACATGTTAGGGGCTGGAGGGATGAACTCGCTCTCGGTTGGTCCAGACCACAGGAATTGGAACAGTGCGTGGAAGGCATGGGAACTGCGGTGCATCCAGCTACCGTGCCAAACACTGGGTTCTCTGGTGATGTCACAACTGAGGCCAGGGGACACTGGCTGGGATTCCTGCATTGTCTGGAGTTTTGGCTGGGCTGAATGATTTTCCTTTCTTACTCTCTGGACCCCTGCCTTGAATTGACAGGTGAAAAATATCTTCACAAAAGCATTTCTTGTAGGCAGTCAAGAAAGGTTTGAATGCTTATTTCCAAAAAGAAAGTCCTTTTGTGCTGAGGAACTACTTCCTGTCTCTTTTTTATCCATTTAGTTCTCTGAACCTAAAATCCAGTGATAACGTGCTTCATTTAAATGCTCGTTTGAAAAGATGCAAATATCCCTGCAGAAATAGGTTGGGAGTAGGTGCCGAGGCAGCAAGTTACAGTGTAGAGAACACAGGTTTTGGAGTCAGACCTGAATAGGTCTAGCTCTGCCACTTGCTAGCTGTGGGATCTCGGATATCTCTTTCCTCAAAGCTGCTTTTGAAGGAACCATTAGTATTTAAAACATGCACACGTGTGCACACACATGGAACCTCACTTACTTCTGGGCTCCAAAATAACTAATGGTGATGGTCACCAAAGATAATATCACATTTCTTAGTGTGCTCCGAAGACCAGCTACATCAGAATCCCCTGGTATGTCCTGGTTGATGTGACTCAGTGGATTGAGCACCTGCCTGCAAACCTAAAGGTCACTGGTTCAATTCCCAGTCAGGACACATGCCTGAATTATGGGTCAGGTCCCCATCTGGGGGCCTGCAAGAGACAACCAACAGAGTTTTTCCAACTATAGATTCCTCCCTCTCTGAATGACCAGAACAGGATTTCAGGTTCCCCTGATTAATTTTCACGCACCCTAACCTTGCCATGTTGCCTCTCAAAGCTCCTAGTCAATAACGTTCAGTGATTGGCTTGTGACCTGCAGGAATCTGGCAGAGAGGTTTGAAACCACATGTCAGGCCATAGTATGCCCACTGTCTTTCTCTTGCCAGGTGACATGAAGTGGCAGAAACTAAGTCCCACCGGGGCAGCGCCCCCAGGCTGTGCTGCCCACTCGGCTGTGGCTGTCGGGAAGCACCTGTATTTCTTTGGAGGGATGACTCCCACAGGAGCGCTAGACACAATGTACCAGTATCACACAGGTGAGCAGGTGTTCCCCGGGGGGCTCTATGAACAGATGTGACTGTTTTTTGAAAGTACCTGAAAGAATCTGAAAGTATCTGAAAGAAACTGAAAGCTTTAGCTTTTCAGTGTGGTCCCTCCACGTCTAAATCCAAGGGAATAAAAACCAAATTTTTAGGGAATGACACAATCAAAGCAGTAAGACAGCCATTAGATTTTGTTGTTCCTTTTATTCCCCATTTCTTTTAAGGCTTGGGTGATAAAGCAAATCACTGAGCATTTCTGCAAACTTGTTAACACAGAGCCTTTGGTTTGTTTCCCCCCATCCCCAACAGAAGAGCAGCATTGGGCCTTACTTGAATTTGATACTTTCCTACCCTCCGGACGATTGGACCATTCCATGTGCATCATCCCATGGCCAGTGATGTGCACTCCTGAGGAAGAAGATTCAAATCCTGTCCCTCTAAACTGTGATGCGGAGAAAGGGGACTCCACTGCCAAAGGAGCAACTCGAGGCGCCGACTCACAGCAGGAAAGTCAGACTGACTCACTGCTCTGTTTTGTGTTTGGTGGGATGAATACAGAAGGGGAAATCTACAATGATTGTATCGTGACTGTAGTTGACTAATAAAACCCACATTGTTGTTAAAGGCAATTACTTCCAGAAGATAAGTGAAATCTTAGCTGTTTTATACTTCCAAAACGTTTTCTGTTTAACACTCTTGCTTTTACCTACTTTGGTAGATGAGGAAAGGAAGTGGATAGCCCAGTGCAAAAACTTCAGTTATATGAAGGGTTTCAGGAGCGATACAACCTAGGTGAGATTGGTTGCTCAAGATACTAATCACAAAATGTTGAAGAATCATAATTGCGAGATACAACATAAGCTCTAGAAATCAGGAAGTGGTTATTTACAGGTTCCAATGTTTTTTTGTTTTTTAGAAAGAAAGGAAGAGAAATATCAACTTGTTCCACTTATTTATGCATCCATTGCCCTGACCAGGGATCGAACACTCAACCTTGGTGTATCAGATACTCTAACCAACTGAACTACCTGGACAGGACATGTCTTTTTAATGATCAGTAGCTACTCCTCAAAAAGAGGTGGACTATTGGCATTAGGTAGTGAGACCCATTGGGGATAAGACTGGCCCTTGTCTTTCCCAACTAACCCCTAAACCCACTACAGACAGCATTGCAGGTGATTTTTAATGCTTGTATTCAGCGTAGCCTGATGACCACATATTACTCCAGGCCTGTCCAAATGATCCTGGGCATTGGAGCAGAGATCTGGGCCTCAGAGTAACACAATCATGCTATCAGGTTAGCAAATTCATGTCAGCCACTGCCCATCTGAAAAATAGCTATCCCTGGGTTGTTACTGGACTTCATGTCAGTGCCAGGTAGGCTGCCTCTTATATTCACCTAGACCACCTTTCCTCAGGAAGCCAGTTCAAGTGGCCTTGAACTTGTCTCAACACAAATGGCTGCGTTTGATCCACAATTGTGGTGGGGCTTAATGTAAGCTGAAGGTCACCATCTTAGATCCCACTGTAGTGCCACTTGGTATTAAGAAATTTCAGAGATGGATATTTTAACATAGTGAGGTTCAAAATAAACCTTTACACTCTAAAATAATAAATTGAAGGGTGTAAACATATGACCCACCTCTGTCTTGAGAACTCAAACAGCTGTAAAGCATCATTAGTAAAGAGCCACCAGGGGGAGGGTTGAAATGGGAGGTGGGGGTGGGTAGAGCAGGGGAGAGTAAGGGGGCAAAATGGGGACAATTGTAATTGAGCAATTTTTTAAAAAAACTTAAAAAAATAAAAAGCCACCAGAAAGACAGCTTTAGAAAGGTAAAGAGAAATAGGGAATTTCAATTATGTTTAAGAAAACTCCACTCTAGGGCACTGTGAAGTGGCCCTTGCATAAGTGAGGTTATGGATTAAATTTCTACCCCTTTTTCTTCAAGTTAGGCAAGTTCTCAAGAGCATTGAATAAAAATGTTTCCTTACCTCAAAACCCCACCCCCGTAAGAATTTAATCTTAAAATAAATGACCTAATTAGAAAGCTTATCACAAAAGTTAGACCAGTGTAAATAACAAACATTTATTGGTGTCACTTATGGTAGAAAATAAAGTTCCTACACTGGATGCACATGACCCAATTGTTAAATAGAACATTTCCATGGTGAACGCGCATGAGATAGCCAATTTCTCCTCCCCCCACCCCAAGACTTTTGAGCAACTGCTAATGAAAAGCAGTAAACAGCCACTTGGGCTATAGCATTTTCAACTCCACTCCGAGGTGAAGATTCCAATTACATTCGAGACTTAAGTTCTCTCAATTTTCTCCTAACGAAAGTTCCTGAGTCCAGTATTTACAATATTACAGCACTAGGAGACCAGTGTCTACAACTCATCTTTGTCTGCCGATTCCTCTTCGCCAGTGGGGGGAGGGCCTGCACTTCCATAGAGTTTGCTGATAATTGGCTGCACGATTTCTTCTAGTTCCTTCTTTTTAGCTTTGAAGTCTTCAATGTCAGCATCTTGGTGACTTTCCAGCCATTCAATCTTTTCCTCTACAGCTTTTTCCATGGTCTCCTTATCTTCAGAGGAAAGTTTACCTCCCAGCTTTTCTTTATCTCCAATCTGATTCTTTAGAGAATAGGCATAACTTTCCAACTCATTTCTAGTATCAATGCGCTCCTTGAGCTTTTTGTCTTCTTCAGCAAACTTCTCTGCATCATTAACCATCCTTTCAATTTCTTCAGGTGTCAGGCGATTCTGGTCATTGGTAATTGTGATCTTATTTTTGTTGCCCGTACCTTTGTCTTCCGCTGTCACTCGGAGAATACCATTCACATCTATCTCAAAGGTGACTTCAATCTGCGGGACCCCACGGGGAGCAGGAGGAATTCCAGTCAGATCAAAAGTTCCCAGAAGGTGATTGTCTTTCGTCAGGGGCCGTTCACCTAGAAGTTGTATACAAAAACCTTGTTAGTTGCTGAAAAAGAGTGCACCCGGATCCCTCCATCTCAGACTGTTAGAGCCCACAGTGGCAAGGGCACTCTCTTCAAGCTGGAAGTGGGTTACTAATGTGTAAAGAGCAATAAATGAGATTTAACAGTGAGTTAAGTTACTAGAACTCAACTGAATTTCACCTACTTTACATGCACCTTTTTGTTCTTGTCTTTTAGAGCTAGCTCAAAAATTATTTTTAGTAGGAAGGAGTGCTAAGATACCTGGATAAGATCTGGATTTTAATGCTGACTATACCAAACTCAACTCTAGTCAAAATAGAGACCCACTACTGAAAAAAGCAGCTATTTCTTTCCCTAGTCTTTTCAACAGAGTGTATTAAGCAAGAAGTCATGTTGTTAACACACACACCATGGCACTAACAAATGGAAGCAATTACCTTCATAAACCTTGATTGTAACAGTTGGCTGATTATCAGAGGCTGTAGAGAAGATCTGTGACTTCTTGGTGGGCACCACAGTGTTCCTAGGAATCAGTTTGGTCATGACACCTCCCACAGTTTCAATACCAAGTGTAAGGGGACATACGTCAAGCAATACCAGATCACCTGCAAAAGGAACATAAGAAGTAAGTTCTAATTTACGAGTCATAAGAGCACTAGCAAGCAATCTCCCCATGAACAATGCAACTTTACCTTCTTCACCTTGCTATCTAGTTAGGTTCTAGCAAAACCAGTTTAGAAACAATGAATTAGACATTACAAGGGATCTTGAAACTACCATGTCTTGCCCTCCTCCCTGTACCCTTTACTACCTGTGTGACCTTGCTGCTCATGTTTTATTGCTTTCTAAAGCAATAGCTAATTATACTCTTCCCATCAAGCTGCTGAAGCAATGCGGAAGATGCTTGTGACAGTGACCTACCTGTATCTTGATCACCAGAGAGCACACCGGCCTGGACAGCAGCACCATACGCTACAGCTTCATCTGGGTTTATGCCACGGGATGGCTCCTTGCCATTGAAGAACTCTTTAACCAGTTGTTGAATCTTTGGGATTCGAGTAGAGCCACCAACAAGAACAATTTCATCAATATCAGATTTCTTCAAATCAGAATCTTCCAGCACTTTCTGGACAGGCTTCATGGTAGAACGGAACAGGTCCTAGAAAAAGAGACATTAATTACTGTGATGATGATGATACCTGTTATACTGAGATATTGTCTAGATTTCTAAATGCAATGCCCCAAACGCGAGAGAATCTAATTAGATCTCATTAGCAAAACAAGCAAACAAGGAACATACCATGTTTAGCTCTTCAAATTTGGCCCGAGTCAGGGTCTCAGAGAAGTCTTCTCCTTCATAGAAGGACTCAATTTCAATTCTTGCTTGATGTTGAGAAGACAGGGCCCGTTTGGCCTTTTCTACCTCTCGTCGGAGTTTCTGCACAGCTCTGTTGTCCTTCCTAACGTCTTTGCCAGTCTTCTTCTTGTAGAGCTTAATGAAATGTTCCATGACACGCTGGTCAAAGTCTTCTCCACCCAGATGAGTATCGCCATTAGTGGCCACAACTTCAAAGACACCATTGTCAATGGTGAGAAGAGACACATCAAAGGTTCCACCACCCAGATCAAACACCAGGATGTTCTTCTCCCCTTCCCTTTTATCCAGGCCATAAGCAATAGCAGCTGCTGTACTGTTAGGAGAGTAAGAAGAAAAAAAAGTTCCATTAAGTTTACATTTTCTCCTTACTTAGCAAATATGCCACACCTTTGAATGTAACACTTACGGCTCATTGATGATCCTCATGACATTCAATCCAGCAATAGTTCCAGCATCTTTGGTTGCCTGGCGTTGGGCATCATTAAAATAGGCTGGTACAGTAACAACTGCATGGGTAACCTAAATGGATAACAAAAGGTAATTAAGTGTATTTTATTACATGGCTTTACTCAGAAGTTATAGTCAAACCATTACTTTAGCTTCTAAGCCCGCTTATTTGTAAGTCTAGCGTAATATATATAGTTTTACACTGGGAAAAAGTCCCTAGCATTTTGTTCGGCCTACAGGAAATCATACAATTAATTAAAACTGACAGAAGACATGGATGTCATTCAGATTCAAATTATTAAAACAATGAAGGCATTTATACAACACAATCAAATCATAGTAATAATAAAATTACTTAACACTATTCTCGAGACACTTACCTTCTTTCCCAAATAAGCCTCAGCTGTTTCCTTCATTTTAGTGAGAACCATAGCAGATATTTCTTCAGGAGCAAATGTCTTGGTTTGGCCACCTCCAATATCGACTTGAATGTACGGTTTAGTCTTCTTTTCAACCACCTATTTTAAAGAATTTTTATTATTTGCAGACACGGAAGGACACTTCAAGCTTTAACAAAAGTGGACCGTATGAGAGCTTCTTCCCCCACAGTTTGGTTTACTTTGATCCCCTGGACCTGAATGTTGATCAGAAATACTTCCCTCAATCCTAAACTATTGGACGGAGTAGTTATGTGTGAAGTTTGTGACAACTTTAGTTTTATGACACATCAGAATGACGAAAAATTATTACATATTCCCTGTCTCTACCCTTTTTTGCAGTCAACACTGTTTTCCTGTAACTTCTCAATCTTAACTACTACCACCACCCCCACCCACCCACTTC